CGGCAAAATTATGTAAGATTAATTATGTATATTGTTTCGGTGCACCAACTCGCATTAGAGGCGAGGAAAAAGTGAGGCAACTTTTATTTACAAAATCTGACATAATTTTCCGAAAGTCCCAATAAAAATAAAGTAGAAAGAGTTTATTTATTTTATACCGACTTAAAAAGGAGGAGGTTCTCAATTCGACAGCATGTTGTTATGTGTTACCTCAGAACTATTTTGTAGGTGAACCGATTTTGATGATTCTTTTTCATTTGATAGCTGGTACTTCTCATGTGGTCCCATATAAATTTGATCAAGTTTTTTTTTTTATTTAAGTATCATTTCAAAGTTAAATACAAAAACAAGTAAAATAGCATCTATAAACCACAAAGGTAAAGGTAAATAATGCTGCTTAGGTAATTACGAGTAGTCTAATCTAATATCTAATCTAGATGATTGGTAAGTTCATTTCTAAGTGTAAAGAAAAGTAGTTGACCTGAAAGTGTGATTTGGTGAATGCTACTGGAACTCCTCAAAGTGTAGTACTATGTGTGCCGAGCTTAGCCCCGTTTCGTTAGTTATGAATAGACCTTACCTCCGGGCTTGATGAAGTGACTTGAAGGTGTAAATCGGTGACTGCTACTGGAACTCCCCGACGAATAGAATTACAATTTACATTTTTTTTATTTATTCACGATCTTATGAGTCGTGCAATTTTGGATTTTCCGAGCTTTTCTTTAATTGAAATTTGACATAAAATTATCGAAAAATTGGAAGTATAATAATTAATATTTTTTTTAGGATTAGTGTGACAAACGAGCACACAGTCCACCTGATGGTAAGTGGTTGCTACGGCCCATAGACATCTACATCTATCCTCTATTACAAATCAAAATAAAGATGCGTTGTCACCCGTGACGACTAAGATGGAATGCCTCATTTTCAGTAAAAAAGGGTCTCCGGTTCTCTACACTCACCATACAAAACACAGCAGCGGTGACCTGCTATTTTACGCTGGTATTCTGTGAGAGCGTGGTCCTTCCCCGGTCGAGCCGACCCATTCCTGCTATAACTACACTACTAATATAGCTGAAGCATGGCTCTACCACGTAATTTTTTTATTATTTATATACTATTCGTTTAGTAATTATAAGGTTTTTAGTGAAAACTTGTGTGTAATTAAGCTATATAAAAAGTTCACGTATAATCATTCTATAAGTAATTATTTTAATGCGTTTAAAGCATGCACAATTGGATTTACCAATAGTTTTTGAATATTTTTATTTTTATCATCAATGTTTTTCGGGAATAAATTTATATCAGGAGTATACATATGCCTCGTTTTATTTGGGAAAAGTCTCGCAAACTGTCACGCGAAGCAAGGACTGGTTATGTCAGTCTCACAACGACTACACCCAATGCTGTTTCTTACATAATAATACATTCATCTTCACAACTGTTATCCAGAGGGGTAGGCAAAGATAACTGACTTCCAATTGTCACGATCCTGACACACCTCTTTCACTTCCTTTACATACTTCCTTTATAAGACAGAAGTCTTCTCACGAGGAGGGGATGCGATTGGGCAAAGAGAAGGAAGGAGAACCTTAAGAACCTTCCTTCTCTTAAAAGGAGGACTACGAAAACCTTCGTATTTCGTACGCATTCGCCACAGCGTCATACGTACGCATTCGATGACGAAATACGAACGTTTTCGTAGTCCTCCCTTTATGCGGCGAAAAGAAACAAGACTGAAACTGAATGACAGGACGAAAAATAGTGGGATAAGATAAAAGTGTGGTTTTCAAGATGATGTTATAACCAAGAAAGAATTAAGAAAGAAATGCTTCGGTGGTTTGATCATGTAGAAAATATGAACGAGGAAAGAGTGACAAAGCAAATTTATGTTGAAGAAGTGGACGGAAGAGTCGGGAACGAACGCCCCAGATGAAAGTTTATCGACCAAATTGGCATAATATTGAAGATCTACATATTATTATGTAAGGAACAACATAGGGTGTAGTCGTTGTGAGACCGATATAACTCGTCCTTGCTTCACGTGAGAGTTTGCGAGACTTTTCTCAAATAAATCGAGGTGCTTGTGTAACATAAATTTCTTCCCGAAACACATTAATGATAAAAATAAAAATAAAACGAATAAATATAGTTCTTCCTGATATCAACCAATAAATGTCTCGACATGCAAAAATGTTCATGAGATCTTCTACCCTCAGAAAGTCGTAAAACGCACGTAAACCAAAAAACGTCTCTGCGAAAATTTTATTACGAAAACACATCAATTCAATGGCACTAGTAATATTTTATTACTTTTAGGTACACATAGTTATGCATTACAAAAAGTTTCATAATTGAATATCATTTTTATATAATGAATAATTATAATTAAGTAACGCGAAAAGAACCTAGAAGAACAAGATCATGCATTTGAAGATACTCTATGTTACCAACCTTATTTCCGGGATTATGACAGCGACACAAGTGGTTCTATGAATTTTCTATGCTGCTGTTTTTCTAATGGTTATTAAATTGAGTAAATGGTCGTCGCCTTTTAACTGGTAACGTGTCATTTCATCTTAGTTCTTCACAAAGAATACCACCGTAAAATTATAACATAATGCTGTTGTATTTCTTATGCTGGTTATTTGAGGCCTTAGTGGCAACAATGTATCTGCATTGTGATTCATAATTGAGGATAGACGTGGGTTTTTATCAAACACAGCAACCATTTACTTAAAACTTGATTTAAATAAGTGGTTAAATTAAAAATTTTGTACAACCGACTTCAATATGAATAAAACGTGAACATCAACAATGTAGTCGAAGTCAATTAAATAGGCATTATTAAGAATAATTCAAAAGCTACTAATCAAATCTCCAAACAATAAAGAAAGATTTCAAAGCCATAATGTTAAAATATTTAAACATTTTAATTTTTTACCGATTTATGCACAATTTAAATATGGCTTACTAAAAGAACAATCCGAACAAAAACAGTTTCCAATGTAAAGCATCGCGCCAAGTACACTTTCAACTATAGTTAGAAAAATAATAATTACATTTTGACAAAAAAATTATAAAATAAAACAAAAACCAAGTACATAACCGTTTTAGATGCGAAAAAAAATTTTGCTGGAAAAAGTAATAATAAAAAAATGGTGTACTTGGTGTAAAAGGTTGTTGTAAAAGCGTATACATCGCCCCAAAAATGAATTACTGACTCGATGGAGTCGATTAACTAAGGCGTAACTAGACTAAGTATAATATACTAGTTAGTCTGTGGTGTGAACGGTGGAGTTAAACTATGGAGTGTAGAGTAGAAGTAGAACCATCTTATAAGGTGGGAAAGTTAAAAAAGTGTCCAACTATATACTGAAAATAGAGGTTCCAAAACCTACCACAATAGCGCTGGCGTCTGAAAAGCTACGATATGAACATAGCTGTTGTAGACGGAGTGAAGTCAGCTGAATTCAAATATTTTAATAATTTCATGACTAGAGTAGTTAGTAAAATGCCAGGATACAAAACACCAGAAGGAAGTTAGCGTAGAACATTATTGTTTTAATTAAACTGTATGCCAATTAATTCCTCCTTAAATACTCCAGCAGAATCTGAAATAGTTCCACCTCTATTGCTATTAGTTAATTTATAATTAATTTTTAAAAATTTACGTATCGAAAATTTTGTTTTACGTTAAAACATAAACTATTTACTTTTTAAAATAAAACTGTATGCTAATTAATTGCTCCTTAAATGCTCCAGCAAAATCCAAAATTGCTCCACCTCTATTGCTATTAGTTAATTTAGAATTAATTAAAAAAAATAACTACCGAAAATTTAATTTCGCTATAAAACATTATGTACCTACTTTTAAAAATTAAACTGTATGCTACTTAATTGCTCCTTAAATGCTCCAGCAGAATCCGAAATTGCTCCACCTTTGTTGCCATTAGTTAATTTATTATTAATTTAAAAAAAATTATCGAAAATTTATTTTTGCTATTAAACATCTACTTTTTAAAATAAAACTGTAAGTAACTAATTGCTCCTTAAATGCTCCAGCAGAATCCGAAATTGCTACACCTCTATTGCTATTAGTTAATTTATAATTAATTTAAAAAATTTAAGTATCCAAAATTTAATTTTGCTATAAAACATAAAATATTTACTTTTTAAAACTAAACTGTATGTCAAATAATTGCTCCTTATTGTTCCAGCAGAATCCAAAATTGCCCCACCTCTGTTGCTATTAGTTAATTTATAAATAATGTTACGAGCTTGGGGTTCGAGACAATTAAAAACTGCCGATTGAATTACCAAAATTGACACTTTAATTACACAACACTAATTACAATCTAAAATCACACTAATAATAAAACACAGTTCGCCGTTATTTCGCTTCGAAGTATTCTCTTGTATCGCCAATTCAATACTGCCCTGGTCGTGGTCCATACCGGCCTTATATAGGGCCTCAGACAGTTTCCAGAACCTTCCACTTTTTTGGTCAATTTCTGGAAGGATCTCGACTCTCCTAGTTCTGCTACTCGACACTAGAGGGCGCTAGTGTACCTAGTGTTGCCATGTACAAGACATTAATAGTGGCGCGCAACACTTTCTTTTACTCGACACTAGAGGGCGCTAATGTAACTAGTGTTGCCATATACAAGACATTAATAGTGGCGCGTAAGACTGCCCCCTCCTAAGACATGCTCGTCCCGAGCATTATTGGCCCCATAATAACGCGCCAGTCGATCCACATGGACAATCTTAGGAGTACCTCTGGCACCTTTCTGTATCCGGTAGGTTACGTCATTGATCCTTGTCACAATCCGGTACGGTCCGTCCCATTTAGCTTGAAGCTTAGGAGATTTCCCTTTGCTGCGAACTGGATTGTGTAACCACACTAGAGAACCTTCATCAAACCCCTTGTTGTTCATTTTGCGGTCATACCGTGTTTTCATCTTCTCAGACGTTTGCTGGCCCGTCTGGCTGACGTGCTAATAAATGTCATTCATTTTGTTCCGCAAGTCATTTGCATAATCGGTTATACTGCGTGGGGCATCTGGTGGTATTCCGGTGATCAGGTCTGCAGGCAGCCGTAATTCTCTCCCAAAGTTTGCGAAAGCTGGCGTCAATGATGTACTTTCGTGAACAGCGCTTCGATATGACAACAAAAACCTGTCCCAGTCTCGTTGCCGTTTTTCCACAACTTTTGCCAGGTACCTTTCCAATGTCTGATTAAATCGTTCTACCATTCCATCAGATTGTGGGTGGTAAGAAGTTGTTCGTGTTTTATGAGTACCCATAACTCTGCAAGTTTCCTGGAATATTTGAGACTCGAAATTCTTTCCTTGATCGCTGTGAATCTCTAAGGGTTCTCCAAAACGACAGAAGACTTCATGAACTAGTTTATCTGCAACTGTTGAAGCTTCTTGATTTGGAATGGCGAAGACTTCTGGCCACTTAGTGAAGTAATCCATCACAACCATGAAATACTTGTTACCACTTTCACTTTCCGGAAACGGCCCCGCAACGTCAATGGCTATCCTCTCCCATGGTGCACCAACATTGTACAATTTCAATGCGCCTCTACTACGAATTTGAGGTCCCTTTACAGCCGCACAACTTGTACATTTGCGGCACCAGTCCTCGACATCGTCACGACAGTGGACCCAGTAAAACCGTTCTCGGATCTTCAGGAGAGTTCGTTTAACTCCCAGGTGGCCTCCTGAAGAACTACTATGGTACAGTTGTAGAACATCCGGTACTTTAGCCTTAGGGACAACCATTTGCAAATGACATCTGTCTCCCCGACCATTTTCCCATTTGCGGCACAGGACTCCATCCTGAATCAGCAAGCTGTCCCATTGGGCCCAATAGCTTTTCGTGGTCGAACTCATGCCGAGACGTCGCTCCACTTGGGCTTAGGAGCACTGGCCTTCATCCATTCCAGAATCGGCTTAATGTCCGAATCTTCCTGCTGTGCATGTTGTAGGCTGTCCTTCCATTCATTGCTGAGCTCGTCTGTCCTGAATATCCTCGCAGATACCACTTCTTTACCCTCTTGCCTAGTACAATGCTTGCAATCTTCAGGGCAAGGTCTTCTTGACAATGCATCTGCATTGCCATGAGATTTCCCGCTGCGATGTTCGATCACAAAGTCGTATTCCTGCAGTAGTTCAATCCATCTCGCAACTTGTCCTTCCGGATTTTTGAACTGCAATAGCCATTTCAGTGCAACATGGTCAGTTCGTAAGTGGAATTTCCGCCCTAGAAGATATTTGCTAAAATGCTGCAAGGACTTTACCACAGCAAGCAATTCCCGTCTTGTGACACAATAGTTCCTTTCCGGCTTTGACAACGACTTGCTGAAGTACGCTATCACAATATCTTGATCACCATTCCGTTGAGACAACACACCGCCAAGTCCTATATCACTTGCGTCTGTGTCAACTATGAATTCCTTGCCCGCATCAGGGTACCCCAAAATAGGTGTTTTGCACAGACGGTTCTTGAGCTCCTGGAATGCAATATCGCAACTTTCATCCCAGCAGAAATGTCGCTTCTCCTCGGTTAGCTTGTGCAGAGGTTTGGCTATATCTGCAAAGTTCTTCACAAATCGCCGATAATAAGAGCACAAACCCAAAAATGCTCTAACCTGTGTCTTGTCTTTTGGGACCGGTCACTCCTTGACAGCAGCAATTTTCTCTGGATCCGTGCGGATACCTTCTTCCGGCACTACATACCCCAAAAAACTAACTTGCCGTTTGAATAGTGAGCACTTCTTCGGACTCAACTTTAGGTTGGCACTCTGGATCTTCATGAGCACGCGTTCCAGGTTTTGAAGGTGTTCCTCAAACGTACGGCCTACGATGATGATGTCATCCAAGTAGACCAGACAGGCATCTCCAATTAGCCCGGTAAGTACAAGCTCCTGTAAGGTCGAGGGAAATGAAACACTTGAGTGTTGACGAAAGACTGTCTGTAATTACGTTATTGTTAAGTTTATATATTATATTATACCCAAACATACGTATAGATACTATGTAGATACTACACCTTCCTTCCCAAAGAAAAAAAAGAAATGAATACGTGCATTTCTTTTTTTTATATAATACTAACATTTAAAATTACACAATAATTATATCCCTAAGTATTCTAATTTATAAAATGTAAACATGGGTAAAGCATAGTTAAAATAATATTTAGATTAAAATGATTACAATTGGTATTATAGTACTTAGTAATTAATATTAAGGTAAAGTAATATTAATTAATGAAGCTTAATACACTAATTTATTATAATTATAATCGATTAAGTAAACAATGCCTGAAATATATTACTTAATTACTATATTATTATTGCAATATTATATATGTAATATTATAATAAATTTATTACATTTATTTTAAGAATAATGCAATTTAGTTCGGTTTTTATTTATTTATTTATTAGGTTTACCAGTAGTTGTAATAATAATACATCAATGAGTATTTAACAATAACATGTGTTTTACAGCTAAATGCACAATTAATTTAGGTAAACACCACATGCACAAACTATTAAAGATAGTATCATCCAATTTTTCTAAGTGACTTAATGTGTTCACAATAAATGTGAAAAGAATAATGTAATTTTTGCCATCTTTTAGTATTTCAACATTCGGTGAACAATCTCTAATTACTAAATATGGACCTGCACAAATGGCGCTGAGTTTGTTACCAGTTTCTTCTTTAACTAATATCAAATCATTAATTTTATAAGTTTAGTGTTCATTTTACAATCATACTTGGATTTCCTAACAAATTTACTATTGATTAAATTTTCTCTTGCTTCCTTTTGGGAGGTTTGTAGGCGATATTTGAACTCTAACGGATAATCTTTGTAATTATATAGGGGTTCTACTGTTTTAGTTAAATTACTAGGTAAATTACATTTTTTGCCATAAACTAACTTGAATGGGGTATACTTAGTTTCGCGGTGAACGGAAGTATTATATGAAAAATACCGAAAAAAAATATATAAAAATAACATAATTTTTTTTATATAGTAAAACTCAATGTTAAATAAAGTCTTATATTATAATTATGCATATATAATAATTATCTTGGCTTGGGTAGGGTGGCTGGCCAAACCCCCTATGTACGAGTACATAATAATTCCGTAGTCACATTATGTATGTTTAAGGCTTAATGCATTGATACATTGTTGATGCATTATGTTTGACAAAATCAGGTGTACATTCGCGAACGTATATTATTTTGGTCGACACATCACTGTAACACACTTTGATACTGAGTTATTCAGTTACTTATTAAGTCATTTATGTAGACATTCACACTAAATAGTACCCTTCCTTTATATATTTATTCACATTTAGACTTATAATTTTATAGTTATATATTTCATTTATTTATGCCTGTATATTTAATGAAACATTGCTTTCATGATCCACACAAATTATTTAGATCTACTATTTTTTCAGAAAATAATTAGTTATGAAAGTTAAAAACACGTGATTTGAATGAAGGTTCAATAAATTAATATAAAACCGACAATATTACATTTCATTTTAAGATATACAGAACAAAGAAGTCTATGTTAGGCAATGTAATCATTTTCATTATCATAACAACTACCAGATCGAAATACAAATTGCAATCCCCGTCGCGTCAGCGATTTGTGATACTTTTGTTTTCAATTCCAAAGTACGTTTATGGGAAAGTTTGCGATTACATCGTATGATGATACCTAATTTCAACATAACTTACAAAATGTTTTATTATAAATACACTTAAAAATATCTAAAATTTATAGTATTAAACACGTTTTCATTTACATAGTTAAGATTACATTGCATTGTTATAATACTTTTACATTATCAAGTAATATGTGTTATTTTTATCATTAATAGTCGGAAACGTATTACATATTACTTTTTTTAAGATTTCATGAGTTCTAAGGAACATGTTTATCTTATTTGAAACACAAATTTGTAAAAAAACATAGGCTTTTACACATATTATATAAGTCTGTATTAGAAAATATATGTTGTATGTTAATAAAATGTTATTAACATTAGAAAAGAAAAGTTTTTTTTTTAAGTATATAATCATATAATTTTTGGTTTCATTGTAGAAAATAAAAAAAAACTTATAATAAATAGCAAATTAATACACTTTGGATTACCGAATTTTCGTTTAAAACAAAAACAAATTTTACATAAATAAACATTTTTTTTAATGTAAAACTAATGGTTATTATAAATATAAATCAATTTAAATATGAAAAAATCTTGTAAATTCATATAAAATATGGTAAAATAATTAAGTATGTACGTGAAAATGTGTTTATTATTTTTGATTAATATTTTTTGTTTACGTGTGGTTATGTGGATCAATAATATAGTTACTAGGTACATGTGTAACTTGTGAGTAGGATTTTGGGTAGCATTAATAGCTCAAATACAGAAATGCAAAATAACTACATATCTCACTTTTAGGTTTGGTCGGGGATCCCCTTATTACCTCATTTTAATTATTCTCATGTCCTTGCATGTTAGTTATTTTCATGCTAACACTAATCTAATTTCCTTTGTTTTCGGTTGTCAGGCCTTATTTATTTATTTCATAATTCTTGTACGTACTTTCTTTTCTTTCTTAATATTTTTGACCTTTAGCTAGCTTTATTTCTTTGAGTATTCTCTTCCCTTATATATTTATTTATTAATTAGATACCCGGGAATCGGAGTATTAATTCACTTCATTTATATTTTATTTCGTGATATTTATCACGCGGGTACTTAATAAATATGGGCCCCCCATTTACTTGGGTATTATATTACTTTTTCATAACATTCATTTCATTTTATTGGTACATAAATTTTTTTTTATCATACTAAATCAAGGTAAAACTGTACCTTGGGTTGTGCGCACAACCTTGAGGTCTACGTTTAAGTCATTTTAAAAGGACTCCAACAATTGTCACGGAGGAAAACTAAGTTCACACTATGATCCAATGAAGGATTGTGACCTCTATGTACCATTATCAAGGGTAACAAATTTAAGACTTCTCTTGTCCCCAACAGTACTAATATGAGTAAACTTGTTCACATCTCACTTGTACTGAAGGTATTGTTCCCTAGTACCCGATACTTCCGATTTTTTCATCCAATCATGGAAACATACCCTGCTCGAGGACTATATGCTATACCAGTGATGGACGTTCCCGTATCTCTCCATTATTTGTTCGTCAAGGTCAACGTGTTTTATTTTTATTTATTTCTTTACATTTATAGTATTTTATTAATCATTATTTAATTGTACCATAATATACTTTCACGTACATGGCTCGCGTACTTATATACATGATAAAGAATATGGACACTATTCCTATACAATACATAATATATTTTCATTGCGTCATTAAAATTCATTATTTTTGAATGTGTAGAATTAGTTTGTTGAATGAATTGTAAAATTTTATATTAAAAGACTACAGAAAAAAAACAACGAAATGTATCACAATGTTATTTTAACCATAAATTTGGTGAAATTAAGTACGTAAAATTTTTATCTTTCGTATTATTTCATAATTTTTTTTTGCAAATCAATTACTGAATAAAAGTGAATATAAAATCGTCTAGTCTAGTGCCTTAATACAAATGCCACTGAAGCACTTACGCAACTAAATTTATAATTATTGTAATATGATTTTTTAAAAACAATAATAAAATAAGAAATAAATCGTTAATATAAAATATCTAATAATTAATTTCAATTTAAGCAT